CTTCAGCACTGGCACGTCCCCGTGGCCTAGTGGTAGAACACTCGCTCACCGCTTCGCAAGCGCTTTGGCCTGGGTTCGTATCCCGGCCGGGGAGGATTTACTTGGCGCCAATCCTTAACTGTAGCCTCTGTTCACCCAGCAGTGAATGGGTGCCTGGTTGTTAAACGATTTGGCGGGTCATATTCGGGGTGAAACTAGGATTAAGGACCTGCCCGAAACTCTACGCGTACTGATGGCTGTACAAGAATGTAAGAATTCTTGTATATATAAATAAAACTACTCGAGATTCTTAATTACAAATTTTAACTTCTAGAGATCTCATTTTACTGAGATATCAAAGGTGATATTTTAAGTGTTGATCTTCCCTTACATCATCTCCTCAAGGTACAAACAAAATTATGATCATATTACCAGTTTTTCAACGTGTTCCGGAGGTTAGGCTACACCGGCATGTTTGGACGCGCGGGTGTAGGCTGGTGTACACCAGTGCCACTTAACTCTACACCATGTCAACATCTATTTTCTAGAGATATATACACCGACACGTGTGGCCGCTTCTCTATATACACAACCTCTTCTCTTGATTTGCCACATCATGCAAGAAAAGGGTGCTTAAAAAAGAAGGGGGTCCTGTGAGTAATCTGGTTCCTTCTCTACTACATAATCGAGAATTCCAGGTTCGAATCCTGGGCTGGACAGAAATGGTTGGGCTCGTTTCTTTTGTCAAACAGAAACTAAGTGTGGATGTAACCTACATTTACTGTATATATAAACAACAATAAATTATTTTGGAACATCCTACTTTACCTCACTTTACCTCGGAAATTATGAGGCTACAGATAAATATTAAATACATTTCTGATATTCATTATACTAAAGCGTAACTCATTCATTATAGCTTGTTTCATAACACCCTCGACTCCCCCCCTTCACCACACTCTACAAAGCGACATATGACAAAGAGTACTGGGAAGACGGGACACCAGTAGTGTAGCTCTCATCCTGTAACTACATTTATGTGATCACATAGAGACCTCCCCCTCATGCCCCCTCCTCCCCCCCCCACACACACATATACATCACCCCTGCTCTCCCCCCCACACCCCACACCCCCACACACACACACCTGCAACTCCTCCACCAAACCTGTCTGGCGTGAGAAAAGTTGTGGCGTGCCTGAGGCGGCACCTGGCGACGGGGCCGCAGCCTGGCACTCAGATAGTCATCACTGAACACGTGACAAATGGCTCCTGCCGCTCCCGTGTTAGTGAAGATTTAGGGATTCCACCTTCGTATCAGTTTAAGTGGTTTACACAAGTCGGTAGTGATTAGTTTGATGGTAAACCGAGAAAACGAGGAGAAAATAGACTGAGAAACAGAGAAACTCGGTATCACAATGTTTTGGAAGCAGCGAATAGTATTCAAATGGAGTACTTAAAAGTTTTCCTAAATTGTCTCGGTAACAAAGTGTACTGTGTACTTAGATTACATTAACTGTAAAGATTGTGGATATGTCTGATATAGGCCTATGGGGCTGTGTACTATTTAGAATACTGAATAGGCTGTGTACTATTTAGAGGCATGACTGCAGGAAGTCTAATTACCATAATGTAGATTAGTCACCAATATCTCCTCAATTTCTGTCGTGCCTCGTAGGCTTAAGATATAAAAAAATCAATTTAATATTGTATCCAATTATATCCATCTAGTAATTCGATATTATGTTTGTAACTCATTTTAAATGTATGTATCTTTGCCTGTATAATTATCTTATCCAATATCCACAATGCAGGCGATGAGTCACAATAACGAGGCTGAAGTATGTTGACCAGACCACACACTAGAAAGTGAAGGGACGACGACGTTTTGGTCCGTCCTGGACCATTCTCAAGTCGATTCCACAATCCACAATTAATATCCACAATCCTTAGGTTAGGATTTATTATTCCTCGTTCAACGACACCCTGACAGGAAAGCGCTGCGCGTTTTCCAATATGACCAACTTTTTCATTCAATGATGTACTGCCAGGAATCTTAGCCAAGTATCCAACATTTGCTTACGGAAGGTAATGCTGCATATGACTGTAAAGCTGCCGCCCAGTTGGGTGGGTGTGGAGCACATGACTGTAAAGCTGCCGCCCAGTTGGGTGGGTGTGGAGCACATGACTGCAAAGCTGCCGCCCAGTTGGGTGGGTGTGGAGCACATGACTGTAAAGCTGTCGCCCAGTAGGGTGGGTGTGGAGCACATGACTGTAAAGCTGCCGCCCAGTTGGGTGGGTGTGGAGCACATGACTGTAAAGCTGCCGCCCAGTTGGGTGGGTGTGGAGCACATGACTGTAAAGCTGCCGCCCAGTTGGGTGGGTGTGGAGCACATGACTGTAAAGCTGTCGCCCAGTAGGGTGGGTGTGGAGCACATGACTGTAAAGCTGTCGCCCAGTAGGGTGGGTGTGGAGCACATGACTGTAAAGCTGTCGCCCAGTAGGGTGGGTGTGGAGCACATGACTGTAAAGCTGTCGCCCAGTAGGGTGGGTGTGGAGCACATGACTGTAAAGCTGCCGCCCAGTTGGGTGGGTGTGCTGCACATGACTGTAAAGCTGCCGCCCAGTTGGGTGGGTGTGGAGCACATGACTGTAAAGCTGCCGCCCAGTTGGGTGGGTGTGGAGCACATGACTGTAAAGCTGCCGCCCAGTTGGGTGGGTTAGGTGCACAAGACTGTAAAGCTGCCGCCCAGTTGGGTGGGTGTGGAGCACATGACTGTAAAGCTGCCGCCCAGTTGGGTGGGTGTGGAGCACATGACTGTAAAGCTGCCGCCCAGTTGGGTGGGTGTGGAGCACATGACTGTAAAGCTGCCGCCCAGTTGGGTGGATATTTGGCAGAAACTGTGTGACTCACCATAGATTTAAACTGCCTTGTAGAAACTGTTGTGAGCCTCTTGTTAAATTACTTGGGATATAAAAAGATTATTGATATGAATATATATGTGTGTGTGTGTGTGTGTACTCACCTAATTGTGCTTGCGGGGGTTGAGCTCTGGCTCTTTGGTCCCGCCTCTCAACTGTCAATCAACAGGTGTACAGATTCCCGAGCCTACTGGGCTCTATTCCTGAGCCTACTGGGCTCTATGTGTGTGTGTGTGTGTGTGTGTGTGTGTGTGTGTGTGTGTGTGTGTGTGTGTGTGTGTGTGTGTGTGTGTGTAAATGTGTAAATCACGAAAATAAACACGTGATGAAAAATGTGACAGTGTCAGACCACGGAGGAAAATTGAAACAGGAATTTCCTTAAGTACTTTCGTATATTAATACATCTTCAGAAGGAATGAAGATGTATTAATACATCTTCATGAATAATACAGTTTTTAAATACAATGAATACATCTTCAGTCCTTCTGAAGATATATTAATATACAAAAGTACTTAAGAAAATTCCTGTTTCAATTCTTATGTATGTAAGATTAACAATAGTGAAACACTTGATTGTCACTTATCTAAACGAACTATGGGGTTCAGTTCCTGAACCCATTATGTGCCTCTGTAACCCTGTTCACCACCGCCCACGGGATGGGTATGAATTGCATTATAAATGAAATAACAAATGACTAACTTTTCATTATACGTGGAGGACAAAATGTTTGAGTAACATCATAGTTAACAAAGGATTATCATCATTAACGTCATTTTTACACTTTAGAATTAGAAACTATTCGTAACAACTTATACAAATTATTGCAATAATGGTTGGATTAAACAGGTGCACAGCAGCCTAAATTAATCTTACATTTTTTTGCGTAAAGTAACATTTAGCTTACAATTTGAAAGATAATTATGGAAAAAGTGTAGCGTACTATTAGACCGGCGAGACGTCACAATTTAAGTATAGGTAATATTGAACTAATTTAAAGTAGGCCAAAGTTATGTAGACAGTAGAAAAACGACGATGTTTAAGGCATATATATAGCACAGATGGCATGTTGCATAGTAGCCTTGTGTGGAATGCTACATATAGCACAGAATATAGCAAAATCGACTTGAGAATGGTTCAGGACGGACCCAAACGACGTAGTTTCTCAATCTTGTGAGGTGTGTGTTATTGCCACATTATTATGACTCGTCGTCTGCATACCAAAATATATATTTTTCAACATTCTAACAAAAAAAATACTCAGCCTTGCGTAAGCCAATGGATGGATGAAGAATGGATACGGGGATGTAACTAGGCTTCAATCTTTATAGCAAATAGAACTAAACAATTCAATTCAAACTTTTATAGCGAGATTTATAATATGAAGAGGCAATAGGGCTTAGAGATGTGTGGCACAAGTTACCAGTAGCATCAGTATTGATATAGAGCTGTTTACGTGGCTCAATAAGCCTTCAGCAGTTCGCTTATTATAATTAGACTTGTTTGTCAGCTGTTGTTGTTGTTGTTAAAGATTCGCTACTTGGAACAAACAGTTCCAAGTAGCACGGGCTATGGTGAGCCCGTAGGTACTTTATATTTGTTTTTTTTGTCGGCTATGCATGCACTGTATTGAATAAACCACATCACACAGTTCAACAAACAGATCAGACGCATTCAAACGTAAGGTAATAAGCTTTGTGTAATCTGGAGAAGGTGCCAATATAACCTAATTTACTTATTAATTACATGATAAGACTAAGAGCTGGGACATAAGGCCACTGGGGATCGAACACCGGCTCGCAAGAACAGCATTGTGACATACAATAAAGTTGGCTTACCTTGTGTTAGTGGAGGTTGTGGAGCCTGGAGAGGTTGGGAGGAGGCAAGTAGTGATGATGGTGAGGTGCACTATCCAAGCACCATATTGCACCGTCTCAACGCTCACTACACATTCCTCGACCACAATCAACACCTAATATATGAAACTTTTCTATGGAGATTTTCAACACTTCATGTACTATACTTCTACTGTATTCACTGAATTCACATCCAACACCACAATTTTATCTTGTATATTTTGTGTTAAATTAATCTTTTTTTTCAATTCACCGGAGATATAACTCAAACCTAAATTTAGGATTATTTTCAAAAACTGTTTTCATGATCAATAATACACTCGAGAGTTCATAGGATTTTCAGCTCATACACTTTATTTTATTCCTGTGAATAAACATTTAATTAAACATTTTATGCTAAGAAGGTTATGCAAGTACATGTAGGAGGCAAAACTAACCCGATATGTATAACTGTTCACAGGATGTTCACTCGCCCACTGGTGAGGGCTGGGCGGTGTACACAGGACACTCATATAGCACAAGCTACAGGATGTGTGGGGGTGAATGTACACATTCACAGGTACGACGCGGGAAAGTGTACACAGTTATATGACAAAGAGTGCTGGGAAGACGGGGCTCCTGTGCTAGGTAAGTCCACTACTGGCTCACCATAGCCTGTGCTGCTTGCCCCGCTCCTGTGCCAGGTAAGTTACGGGCTCACCATAGCCCGTGCTACTTGGAACTTGTTCCGAGTAGCTGAATCTATAACAACAACATGGGAAGACGGGACACCACGAGCGTAGCTCTCATCCTGTAACTACACTTAGGTAATTACACCCACCCGTCCACGGATGGTGGACGGGTGGGTGTATACAGAACACCCGTCCACAGGATGGGAGGGGACTGTGGGAGGGGTACTCTCCCACGTGTTCCGTCCTACACCGGATGACATTTACGCCAATAAATGTCCCCACAACGACGACATTTCCAGCCAAACTCGGCGAACACTCGATACAGAGGTGGGCATGCGGCAGCAAGGCATAACGGTTGTGCACTACACCTTGTCACAGCTTTAAACCTAGCGCTCTCATCAACCTCATTACGGGCTCACCATAGCCCGTGCTACATGGACACTTCGTTCTGAGTAGCTGAATCTGAAACATCAATCCCCGTCTCACTTTCACGTGAGGTAAACACGTTTCCTCCACTTCTGAAACAACATGAAACCTTCTATTGTTCTCACCTCAAGTTCGACTTTGTGTAATTGAATTTTACAAGGACACAATACGTCGTTCACCTAGCTGCCTTATAGCAGTTATCTAGCGCCACCTCACCTCCTCCATAGCAGCGTATCAATTCTTCTCTGTCCTACATAAAATTCGACCAACCAAATGGCATCATGTAATTCAATGGGGTTTTCTAAGGTTAATCAGCATATTTGAAGGCAAATCTGTATGTATATGTATGTATGTATGCATGTAACAGTGAAAACGGTGTGTGGAGGTATTCGTCTGTACTACAGCTGCACATTGGTAGGCAGAACAGATGTTTCATGTGTCAGGGTCCTCTCCTAAACACGTGTATCATAACGACACACAGACAAGCAGAGGACACGAGACACATTCATACAAATTCCACTCACTGGTTAAGCCTAATACCTTCGATTCTAAATTTAAATAAGATAAGCGTTTGAACCAAGATGTGGGAACCGACCTGTGAGATTTATATTTATTTAATTTATATGAATTTATATTTACGTTAATTTATATACTTCGATAGCAATTTGTATAATGTTAAGTGGACTGTATTTCTGCAATAATCTCATAATCTCACAAATCGATCCTCTACACATTAGGGGGGGTTTATTAGTTTATATATATGCAGCCAATCAAACTACAGAATTAACTACACATTATTAAACATTGAAGAGGTTCCTTATCTTATAGTACAGCAGGCTAGTCCACCAGGTATAACTAGGGTGTAGACACCAAATTATCCTCTTTGAGGTAGCTTCCATATCACCCAGTAACTGGTGCACAAACTCTTCCTCGTCTTGACCTGTCAAAAGGGCGCTAACTGTGAAGCCAGAATCCTATATATGACAAGTTATATCAGAGAAAACACTATACATGGAACAATAAAGACCTGGCTTAATTACCTTTTAATTTGAGGCTATGTCGTGCTCTAACCGGGTCACCCTATATAATGACATTAATGGCCATAAATGAAAGATACATGGGTTTCGGAAAGAACACTTAACTTGAATTTGTTGACAGCGTGTGATAATGGTACACCTTTGGTTTCCATAACACTTCGTCCAAGTAAAATTAACAGGAGCCGAATTTGCTCCCGTGTGAGCCTCTGGTCTCAATATAAACAATGGCTGCCCTCCTTCCCCACTGACGCCTGGCCTACATTGTCCAGATGTCAATAAGTGATAGAAGGGTCACATTTACTCTACTTTAATATTGATAATTAAGTTAATTTATATAAGATGTTTTATGATGGTAAAGTCCAAAGACTAATGTATTTAAGAATAATTCCCACCATAATAGGTGGTGATTTATAATAGTATGTGGTGATGATATCCCGTTTTCTATAGACGGTAATTCCACTACAAGTTACGTTTTCTATGGGTAACTTGTTTATACAACACAGCTCTTATCTGTCTGTATGATATTATATTAAATGGTGTCGGATTTTCCGACACAAGAAGGTTCAAGGCCAGAGCTCCAAATTGTAATTCAATCTAGGTAAAGACATATAGGTGAGCGCCCCACACACACACACCAGGAACCTCACCACATGTGTGTCATTTCCTGCGCCTGTCAATATTGGCCTGTTGCCCCACTGGTGTGTGTGTGTGTGTGTGTGTGTGTGTGTGTGTGTGTGTGTGTGTGTGTGTGTGTGTGTGTGTGTGTGTGTGTGTGTGTGTGTGTGTGTGTGTGTGTGTGTGTGTGTGTGTGTGTGTGTGTGTGTGTGTGTGTGTGTGCGTGTGTGTGTGTGTGTGTGTGTGTGTGTGTGTGTGTGTGTGTGTGTGTGTGTGTGTGTGTGTGTGTGTGTGTGTGTGTGTGTGTGTGCACAACGGCAACCAACTCAGAATCACCTTACAGAAAAAGGTGATTATTTTAACCCAATAAAGTTACAGGTCTTCTAAATATCAAAATATACAGCAATCCTTGAAACGATTCTCAACCGAATAACAATAAGTATTTTGAGAAACGATAATGTTATCACTAATGTCCAATCGTAAGTAAAAGTTACAGTTTATTAATTTATGAAGACAACTCATAGTATTCTTATCACTCTTAGGCTATAGGAAAGATAAACAAAATTAATTTGGAAACTGTCACTATCGATGTTCTCTATATGAGGCTACAGTACACGGAGAGGTAGAGGGCGCTGGGCTGGGGAGAGGCTAGGGCTGGGGAGAGGCTAGGCTTGGGGAGAGGCTAGGCCTGGGGAGAGGCTAGGGCTGAGGAGAGGCTAGGGCTGGGGTGAGGCTAGGCCTGGGGAGAGGCTAGGCCTGGGGAGAGGCTAGGGCTGGGGAGAGGCTAGGGCTGGGGAGAGGCTAGGCCTGGGGAGAGGCGAGGGCTGGGGAGAGGCTAGGGCTGGGGAGAGGGCTAGGCCTGGGGAGGGCTAGGGCTGGGCTTGGCCTGGGGAGAGGCTAGGCCTGGAGAGGCTAGGGCTGGTCTGGGGAGGGAGAGGCTAGGCTAGGCCTGGGGAGAGGCTAGGGCTGGGGAGAGAGGCCTGGGGAGGCTAGGGCTGGGGTGAGGCTAGGGGGGAGAGGCTAGGGCTGGGGAGAGGCTAGGCCTGGGGAGAGGCTAGGCCTGGGGAGAGGCTAGGCCTGGGAGAGGCTAGGGCTGGGGGGAGAGGCTAGGGGCTGGGGGGAGAGACTAGGGCTGGGGAGAGGCTACTGGGGAGAGGCTAGGGCTGGGGAGAGGCTAGGCCTGGGGAGAGGCTAGGGCTGGCCTGGGTAGGAGAGGCTAGGGCTGGGGAGAGGCTGGGGCTGGGGAGAGGCTGGGGCTGGGGAGAGGCTAGGGCTGGGGAGAGGCTAGGCCTGGGGAGAGGCTAGGGCTGGGGAGAGGCTAGGGCTGGGGAGAGGCTAGGGCTGGGGAGAGGCTAGGCCTGGGGAGAGGCGAGGGCTGGGGAGAGGCTAGGCCTGGGTAGAGGCTAGGACTGGGGAGAGGCTAGGCCTGGGGAGAGGCTAGGGCTGGGGAGAGGCTGGGCTGGGGAGAGGCTGGGCTGGGGAGAGGCTAGGGCTGGGGAGAGACTAGGGCTGGGGAGAGGCTAGGGCTGGGGAGAGGCTAAGGCTGGGGAGAGGCTAGGGCTGGGGAGAGGCTAGGGCTGGGGAGAGGCTAGGCCTGGGGAGAGGCTAGCAGTGGGGAGAGGCTAGGGCTGGGGAGAGGCTAGGATGTGGAGAGGCTAGGTACGGGGAGAGGCTAGGCCTGGGGAGAGGCTAGGGCTGGGGAGAGGCTAGGCCTGGGGAGAGGCTAGGGCTGGGGAGAGGCTAGGGCTGGGGAGAGGCTAGGCCTGGGGAGAGGCTAGGCCTGGGGAGAGGCTAGGCCTGGGGAGAGGCTAGGGCTGGGGAGAGACTGGGGCTGGGGAGAGGCCCAGCCCCTCCTTACCCCAGCCCGTCCTCACCCCAACCCGTCCTCATCAACACAGGCGGCCATAGCCTGGACTAGCCAAGCCTCAGGACGTGAGGACAGTTTCCACTGTAAATTGACTGACGACACATCCTTGCATTAATTGTGAGCAAGAGATTGTGATCATATTGTTGGGCCTAGTGCACTAGGCTACTGGTGACAGGGCTGCCAACTTGTTGTCACACACCCGTCAGTCAAAGATTGAGGTAAGATGTACTCATCTAGTTGTGCTTGCGGGGGTTGAGCTCTGGCTCTTTGGTCCCGCCTCTCAACCGTCAATCAAGTGGTGTACAGGTTCATGAGCCTACTGGGCTCTATCATATCTACAGTTGTACACGTTCGTAAGTGCTTGCGTAACTGTTTCGTGAATCTTGTTAGGAGAGCAGTCTGCATATACCAAAATGTCCAGAATTCCGTTTCCGAGGTAGTTAAAGTGTTTAGGTTTCGTTCCCCCTGATTCCTCTGTTCACCTAGCAGTTAAACCGGTGGTTCTCTAGAGTTAGGGGGAAGTGGCACTACTGTATTTGGCCGTCGAGAAGCCTAACAAGCTTCCTGTTCCCGACTATGTTGACTAAAATAGCAGTAGAGTTCAGGTGTAATTTTCCTGCTATCACTCACCGACCAGACGCTGGGGCCGCGGACTGTAGGATAACATCCGCCATTACTTTCCTTCGGTTATTTACACCAAAGATAACACTCGGATTATAGTTCTCGTGACGGTCTCGCTTCATGCAGG